CCCCAAAACCCCAAAACCCCAAAACCCCTTGTGTGAACATTTATTTAAAATAATTTGCATTAAATGATAATTATTTAATTATTAATTGGAATCATTTTGAATTGTTAATTCTAAGATCATTAGTGGTTTAATCAGAATCAAAAGCAATCAATATTCGTCATCATACTTCTTATACTCATCATCCCATTAAGGCTATTTGTTTAACTCTTCCTTGTTTTTTATTTCTAAAGCTCTTTTTAATGAGAATTCTGTGAAAACTTCATGACTAATTCTAGCTCTCTATTATCCAAGTTCAGCAAGATTAGTTGTTGACCTAGTTTAACCCACATTTGCCATTAACTGCATCATTCTTTTCTCAACTTCAACTTCCACCAACTATTTAAATCTTCTTGCTTATTCTTTTCCCGTATTTAAGGTTAGAGCTTCTGATTTATTATAAGGAGTGGATTTCATAGCTGGTCCAACCGCTATTTAATCCTCATCATCTTCGTTATCATTTATAGAATCTATTTCCAATTTACTACTTCCATTTGTTCTCTTTTTCTGCATGGGATATGAGAATTTAGTAGCTTTTTTTGCTCGCTATTAAATTCTTTATGATTTAACCTATACTTCTATTTCTGCTTCTTATGAAGATTTATCTTGATCAGCCTTATGAACAAACTTAGTCTCATCTAAAGGATTATTATTTTCATCTTCTTCGTCCTTGTTATCCTCACTTTCATCATCATTTTTACTCTATTTTATTTAGCTCTTTGAATGAGATTTTTTGGTCTCCTTCTTTTTGGATTTATTATTTTCCTCTAATTTTTCAGATTTAGCCTTGCTTATATTAGACTGACTTTTATTTTTCTTTGTTAAATCTATTTCAAGCTCAATAGGCACATGATCACTGCCATTAAAGTCCTTATGTATACGATTATCAACAACCATATCTAAATCATCTTTGTGTAGCATAAAGTAATCTATTCTCCAGCCCTTGTTGCTTGCCTTCGCATTTGTTCTTGCTGAGAAATAGGTGTATTCTCTTTTTTCTGGATAGAGGTGCCTAAAAGTGTCGACATAACCTTTATCTATGAATGTTTAAAATGAAGCCCTTTCTTGAGGAGTATAGCATGCTACTTTCTCTTTGCCTTTAACATCAAAGATATCTAACTCATTCCTTGCTACATTCAAATCTCCAGTCAATATCAATGGCTTTTGTTTCTCAGTTCTTATTTTATCTAGATAATCGAAGAAATCCTTATCCCACTCCTAAGTTCTATAATCGAGTCTTCTTAAATCATCTCCGCTATTGGGAACATAGACAGACACCAAAGTAAAATCTTTGAATTCAGCAGTAATCACTCTACCTTCATCATCGTGTTTATCTATTCCGATATCAAACTCAACTGAAATTGGCTTAATTCTTGTGACAATACCTGTTCCTGCATACCCTTTCTTAGTCTTAGAACAATTCCAATATTATTCATAACCCTCTGGAAGGGATTAATGCAACTTAGCAGATGAAATTTTATCTAAATCTGTTTTTATCTCATTAAAGCAAACTATATCTGGCTTGGCTTCTTCCATAAACTTTTAGAGCATTCCTTTGTTAATTACAGCAGACAATCCGTTGATGTTCCAATGCCAAATGTTTACTTTACTATCTGGAAAATCTGAATGCTTTGCTTCTCCATGGAATTTAGCAGACTTATTGATTGTGATACCAAAGAATCCAGCTAGATTTGATTATGTTTTGTTTGTTTACTACCTTGAGATAGATTTTTTGGAATCAAGTTATAAATGTGATTCTTTAATATCCTCATCTTTCTAGAGTTCCCTCTTTTTCGTTGATCTTCTTGATGTCATTAACGCAACTGGTAATTTAATTGATTCTAATTTCAAATTCAAATTTTAAAAATAACTGAGTCTAGGGGTTTTGGGGTTTTGGGGTTTTGGGG